CCTCATTTTTATACCGATGTAATTAGAAGTATTTGAGAATCTGCTACCGATATGCTATCAGCTATTTGAACAAGATAAACACTTGAACCTGAACGCAAATGCTTGACGATGATGTTATAAAATGATTACTGGAATTAACTCTTATAAAATTCCTTTCATAATTTAGTTTACTAAAGAAATAAACGTCAGATGGACTCTCCGAATGAGAACGTTTATCGAGGACGCATGTTTTTCTAATTTCCTTTCTCTTGTTTGTTTTGCAGATCAATTATGCAAACAAAACCTCTTTCAGGAAACCATAAATAACAGTAAAAACTGGTTTATAACTCCTAGTTCTTTAACTCCTTACGAATACTACACTGGAAGGAAAAGTGGCTTCATTCGTAACAAATCAATTTGATGGATTCATTGTACTAATGGACCAATTACGATCAATAGATCGGGAGTGGTTGCTTGTCTCGGACAATTACTGCGTGTTCACGCTAATGTGAGTCCTACAATGATTACAATTATATGAAAGATGGACGTGGAACCGTCTAGAAACAGGACCCTGGAAAGAAAGATTACCTTCTGAATTTAGATTAGGATCATTTTTCTCCAAACCGTCTGGTTTGGATCCATGTTCGTAAAGAAATTTTCATAGCAATTTTAATGTGTGTTCTAAAGTCGTAAGATTAAATAACAACACAAAGTTGATTAGCAAAGAAAAGGCCGTAAAATCTTTATCAGCAATAATATTTGTTGGATGAAAGACGTTGATGCAATATCTGTTTTTACTATGGAATGATTTATTGCTTGAAAATTAATGCGATGTATCATCACGGTTGTAGGTTCTGTAGTAGCAAATTTTAATTAGACATTTCAGTTAATATTTTGGGTGTACTTTGTATTTGATCTTAATATAAATCTTAGAAACCTATGATCGTACAGAATTTAGCAATTCTTGAAAAACATTATCAAAGCTCAAAGAGGTACTACTTAAAGCAATTTCATCCCCGACATTTTCTTTGAATTTCACTTGAGATGAAGAGTGAATTTTAGTCCATACTTTAGGAAATTCTTTTCATGGATATACTAACTTATAAGAAGACAGATAGAGAGAATAGGAAGGACCTATGTACAATTACTAAGTTACTAGACATTCATTTCGCAGTCGTAGGCTCCTAGGGTAGGTTTTTATTAGGTAGTAGTAATTAAGTAGTCCGTCAATACCTACCTTGTAGGCAAGTAGAAATGTTGATAAGTTGGTAACTGAGAACTGAGTCAAGGCTTATTGAAAGAAACCATACAAAGTCTTGTACCTATTACAAGTATTACTTCTTATTGCTAGTTAATACACTGCTATTACAAAATTCTACTTATTATGTCTTGGACGGAAAATATCAACTTCAAATCAACCCTTAGTTTGTGAATCCGTTTCTATTTCCGTAAAGTAGGTTACGAAATATCTATGTTGTTAGCAAATAGTTGACTATTTTGTTGATTTAGTTGTAACTAAGTGCTATCGAAAGAACGGTGTTTAGGCCTATTTCCAGGCAAAGAAAATAACCTTTTTTTTATAGCATAAGCCGGTAAACGATCAGACGGATCACCTGATGGAAAGCAATTGGCGCCGCCTATGGACACTCGAAACACCAAGGCGTTACAAGTGCGTTACCGGCCTTTTGGGAATTGGGAATTTGAGGATTGTGGAGGATTCGGGGATTAGGGAGGGGGGTAATTGGGCCTCCGGTAACCTCACTCACACGACGAAACACAACGCAAGCGTTGTTTCACGTCGGTTTTCTGTGAGGCCGTGGTATCACTCCGGTCGAGCCGGCCCATTCGTGCCAAAGTATGGCTCTCCCACACTTAAACGACCTACTTACTACAGACTGGGCCTCACGACACAGGGAATCCTAGTGTGGGGTCCAGAGCCATATAAATATGTAATGTGAAGCTTTTTGTCAATAAAAATATTTTTATTTTATTTTATTATTTACTTATTTTGTTGGCAGTTGCTCAGACTGCCTTTTACGAAATTTCGTGTTCCTAGTTTAGTCGACTTGAACAGACTACAAAGAAGACTACAAGAACAGGAGTCTTCCGTGTCGCGTTTGCTTATTCAACTTGGGCAAAGAATTATAGGGTTTTTCAGAATTCTCCTTAGGTGATCCAAAATTATTCACAGAAACATAAGTCCAACTGGTATTAACAGTGTCTAATAACTGTCCGAGAGTGCAGACAGTTGAATATTTGTGTAGATAAGTACACTGATTGTATGGCAACAGAGACACCCACGTGAGACCTGTAACTAAAAGGCCTCAGCTAATCAGATATTTGACTTTATTACAAAACATCAAGTTAGTAAATGAAAAATACTTTCTGCACAAGTTTGCTGCATGCAAGTATTAAATAGGTAGGTAGGCCCTTTGCGCTTTTGCCATGCAGTGCTATGTACAATATATGTGCTACTTTGAACAGCATACATAGGCACTTAAGTACCTAAAACTTTAAAATTATTATTTGCTTAAATACATACACTATTTATCTAATCAAATACTTTAAATAAATGAATGAATGTGTTACTGGGATTAGTCTAATACATATTACACGATTCATAGCTCTAAAAATAATAATTTTTTACTGATGAGGAAACATGTCACATTTATTAATGTTATCAAGTTTAATAATTGTTTCGTAGGTAAACTAAAGATTGAATACCTAAATTGTAAAAGTAAATCATATAAATATTACTCATAAAACTTTGCCAGAATTTGGACATTGACCTATGCATACTATTTAAAACTCTGCAGTTATATGAATATGGTCTATTTTTATTAAACTTTATCGTGATCGCTGGGCATCTCATCTCACGGACACCACATTACAACACAATTAAAACAAGTTTCATTTCAAACCAGGTAGTCATGATAATGTCAATAAATTATACTTTCAATAGAGTTCTCGCAGACTATACTACAAAACTAGATTGTCGTGTATAATAAATTATTCATTTTCGTATTACAACCTAGGCTGGAAGATTATGTTACCTGTGTCCAGTGCAGCATAGACAATTTTTTGAGTCATAACAACCTTTTAAAACTGCTTATCCATATTGTTTAATTGGCTTATTTAGAAAGTAAGTGATTTGTGCTTAACAACACATTTATTGACTTATTTAAATTAGATGATATAGGCAACTATAATGTCACAATACAACAATAATAACTTTGTTAGTAAATATGGTTAGGGAAAAGACTTAAATAATTTAATTATGAAACCTAATAGGTCCTGCTATCAATCCACAAGGCTGATTGGATTCCATTATGAAATCCGATTTCCGATTAACATTAAATAAAAGATTTCATTTACATTTTAAGAATTCTTTTCTAAGGAACAATAATATTAACCTTTTGAGTGCCAATGTCACAAATACGTGACCAGCGAACACTGTCCCAGGACGCCAAAGACACAAATACATGACAGAAAAAGCGGAAATGGAAACACGAAATCAACGATTTGATTCCCCATTGGAATCCCTATTTCTTTTGTAGAAAATTGCGCGGAATTTGTGGCTTGGCGTTGAGGGCAGGTTCATGTATTTTTGCTCTGGCGTTCAAAAGGTTAAAAATTCAAATAGGAACATTCAAAACTTAATTCATTCTTTATTTAAAAATACAAAACATCTGTGTTTTATTTAATTACCTACCTTATAAAAAACTGAAATCAAACATGACAAGGCCAGTGAGAATAAATAATATTTGTGTGCACAGATAAGAAATCAATTATAATACTGGTATGGCTTTATGTCTTACAAGATTTTGGCAATACCTCTTTACTAGAGTAGGCCAAGTATACACATTAAAGTAAATATGAATATGTCCTTGTTAAAATTTATTTAGGGAAACCACAATTAATTAATTATGTAGTTAATTATAGGACAACCGCACTGGGTGTTCTCATTATCCTGTTTTAAACACTGGCAGTCAGACATAATGGTCATTATTATGTTAGTTTTGTATTAATTATTGGTATGTGTCACAGAAACCATTGACCCTGTATGGATCAGTTACTCACTCCATATAAATTAACTTGGTTAGTAGTATTGTAAATGCCATCATAATCTAATATGAAATATGAACATAACTGAACTAAAATTACAATAATAATACTAATGGACTGATGTTGAACTCAGATACGATTAGTTTCAAACCCCAGCGACAGTCGTTATAAAAATCAAACAAGTTTTGAATGAATCACCTCAAACATTATGTAAATGAAGTATGCATGAGAGTATCATGAAAATTAAGCTTTTTCTAGTGAAGAATATAATTCTAAAAAATATTTAGACACAAAGAACCGGCGGGAAATGCGTTGCTATGTTAAGTAACACAAACAATTATGGGAAAATCCAATGGGAACCAAGACTGTGCTACAAAATATTGGACGTTGGAAAACTAAGTATTCAAAGTACTTACACTTCAAGTATACGGTCGCCCTTCCTGATACCAGCTTGCTCAGCCGCCCCATTCTCCAGCACAGCGCTGACATGCTGCAGAGGAGCATAAAGTTCACCGTTAATCGATCTTAACTGCCCCCCTTCAGACACTTGACCGCGCACGTTAAAACCAAATCCAGTCTCAGTTTTATAGATAGTAACGCGACGGGGTCCATTGGCAGGCACTGTATTCCTATTATTTCTTTCGGATCTAATAATACTGTTATTATCGGTTTCTGTCTCAGCCATTTTGAACAATTTCCATCACAGATAAATAACAATTGACGTTTCCTAGTGGGGTGACCAGATTCGAACATAAATGACAAAAAAGTGATACCATTCACATAATTATGCAAGGAAAAATAAAATCATGTTCAATTCTTTAACACTTTAATTTTATTTTTGCTACTTTATTGTTTACTGATATTATTAAGGACCATTGAAGTGATTTATAATAAGTTTTCCCACAGTTTTTATCTAAAGTGATATACGGCGCCATCTACAGGTGTTTAGGATGCAACACTTGGCTCGCATGATAAAACAGTGTGGCTTTGCAATTATTTTTCGACAGAGAGCGGTAGTATCGAAACAACGTGGTACAAAAATTTCATTTTCTTTCACATCAAAATCAGCTGTGAACATCAGTATGGCCGCTCCATTATCTAAAAAATAAAATTGTTTTTGTAAAATCATACAAAAAAAATAGTAAAGTGCAGTTTTCGTACTTACACCATCTAATTGTACATTTTGCGAATAGTGTTGATGTTGACTAAAAGTGTTGCGTCATGACAGAGACCTCTCACTGACAAACAAATACAATAAAAATTGCGACTCGCTTATTACGGCGACTTATTGTAATTTCTATTGGACTCGTATAACGTTTCTGTCGTTCGGTTGAGGGCTGATGTTATTACTGAATCGTTATCGAAATTTATATAATGAGTAGTGTTAGATTGAGTTTTGTATCCGTGGGAAGGATAGCAGTAAGAAGAAATTCACAAATATCGGGTGAGTGCATAATAATTTCACTATTCAGTGTTGTTTTTTTGCTGGTTGGCGTTGATCCAGGCTCGTGTCGCAGTATCTTGCGATGTTCTTTGTGTTCGAATGCGTACACGATTAGGTGTTTGATAACAAAACGTGATGTTTTATGTTGCTTATCTTGCGTGGTGTACCTAGAGTCCGTACGATACACGCGTGATGGCGCGTGTTAGGCGGCTGGACATTCCCGCTGTAATTAATTCATAGTAACTCATTCTGAAGCTGTTTTCCTTCCATTGCGGTGCAGGGCCTATCAAGGTGAATGTGGAAGCAAGGTCAAGGGAGTCACGTGTATCAATGACACTGGCCGCATAAATATCATTATTGGAAACTGGTATTCCGATTCTGTAATTTTCTAATTGGAATCCATCATAACACTGATAAACATCAATGATAGTTCCTGAACTTTATCACCACAGTGAAATGTCAGATTCCAATTTTGAAAACAACTGGTTTAGAATGTCATTATAATGTTACCACATAAATGAAATACCTATAATTGAATAAGAAAAGAAAGTTGTTGTGCATGCAGTATTGTTGCCTTTTGGTTAACGGATGAAGCCGTGAGAAATTATAATATTCTGTAACCAATATATATTACAAGGTCTTCATTAGAGCCTGCTTCAAATGTTTACATTTCCTTAATTCTAATGATAATTGAAACTTATCATATTATTTTTAACCTCTAACATAACAAACGGGCATCATTATTTCCTCTCAAAACTTCTTTGTTAAAATACAATATTGTATGAGATGTTATAGTATGTATCGTTAATATCAGTTTTTAACAAAAATACAGCTTTAACATGGTCTTTGTTTTTCAATTTTGTATTTAGTTTTCAATGAGCAAAACATTTGGGTATACATGTTACCGTAACTAATAACATACCTAGTTGTTGGTGCGAACTATACTATTGTTACAAATACGGTACAGTTTGTTATTTTAAACATATTCTATAAGAATAATATTGAATTTCTTTTTGTAAATTTTGAATGGTAACTTATTATCTCCATGTAGCAAGGGATTTTCATATTACACTAAAAGCTTATGTTTTCAATCTACAGGTGTAAAACTTGTCCGGAGAATGGACAGTTTCAAACATTGACTTCTTATAGCAGCCTTCTTCATTGATCTGTTTTTTTATGTTATTCATATATGTATTGTGGTAATGAATTGTGACTGTTATGTAAACATTTTTGTATACTAAATAACATATACTTCTATAAATATTCAATTCATCAAGGGTTAACAAACTTCTTATTGGAAACTGTTACCTATCTAAATAGAATTAATGTTCAATATCTGTTGTAAGTTAAATATGCAGTTGCTTGGGTACTACAGACCAAAGTATATCTAAATATTGTTTCTAAACTGTAAACAGAGTTTTGACATACCTACCTAGTCTGTCTATAAAATTATCAGATGTATAAAAAGGTTATCTTGATTCTTATTCAATTTAAAAAAAGGATATATCACAGTCAATCCTGAATATGTTACAGAATTATAAATATTTATATTCCCGTGATTTTTTATAAAGTAATTATCCCTAGTATCTTAAAACCAAGGTTCTTATTGGCATATACTTCAAATGATTTTACCTGCCATTTAAATATTACTAGCAAGTTGGCAAAACTATACTAGCATTCATAAGAGACCAATAAGATTCTATAGGACCTTCTGGTCCTAACTCAGAAAGTTGTCTTTTACCCGTAGTTAAATATAAATTTATACATTCATATGGAAACATTAAAAATAATGAACACCTCCCTAAATTAACTAAAAATCGCGGGTTACTCACGTGGATATACTGACGCTCTAATAGTTTCGGACCACAGAAGGGTTCACCCTCAAGAGCACCGTGCTCGGTCGCGGCGACGTCGCGCAGCCTACTGATAATTATCGTGAGTAACCCATGATTTTTAGTTAATTTAGTATGTCTCACGATAGATATTATAAACACAACAATTCCCTAATTACTAAAGGGCGAAAACATGACTAAAATTCCAAATTCCGGTCACAAAAAACAACATAATATTGGCAACCGAAAGAAGGCTAGATGTCTGATAAAGACGTGCACCAAATCCGTAACTTCGGCCGTCTGGTCGCAATTTAGTAGCGTCTAACCCTGACCGATTTGAAAGCACCAGCTAAGGTCCTGATCACCTTATCGGGCGCACGATTACATGTGCCCACTGTAGAAGGTGCGTTGACATGAACTTTTAATGATATCTCCACGTGACGTGACTGTAGGTAGTCGCTGATAAGTTATCTGTCAACTAAAAACAATTGAAGTTGTTTGGATTTGTTTTTGTCTCATTTACATCTTCTGGAAATACCTATGAAGATGTTGGCGATTACTGTCTCGCAGCGTTTCCATCTATCGGGCGATTTACAGCGGCAAAGGAACAAGATAAACGCACCTAAAATGTAAAATCCTGATAGAAGTGTCAATATTTAATGTTGAAGATATTCTTATGTTCAAAACTTTATGTTTATATACAAGCAAACATAGACAATGATTTACGAATTTATTATTAGAAGCATGTCTAACGAAGACCGATAAAGGTTGACCCGGTCAAAATGTTCGTGTCCCTTTTGACGGCCAAAATCAACTTGCTTTCATAAACATTTATAACTGGCTAGATTAGTAATCGTAGCAAAAAACGACTGGTTAATTAACGCATGTTCATAAACTGTATGATTGCTCATTATAAAATCGATAAATAAACGTGAGTTACCAACGTAGACAAAGAGCCTACTTCCTAATCCCTGTTACTATCTAACTTACGTAACTATTTCACACTTTCTTAACCCTTTAACCGCCGACAACGTAATATTACGGTTTTCGAAAGCTGTGTCCGAATCGCCACATACGTACAATCACGTTATTTTATTAAAAATCTTCTTATAGTGCACAAACTCCATATAAAAAGTGTCAATTTCAAGATGTAGGGTATAATCTTTATTGTTATGGATATTTCTCAATGTTTTGAGTGATAAATACTGTGAAATTTGAGGTTTAATTAAATTGTGGTCACCGTCTCCATTATCTGTATCGCCAATCACGTAATTTTACGAGTACTAGGGATGGGGCGAATTCGAAAAATACTTAATAGGTTGTCTAAGAACAAACAAGGCACTATAGATATTACTGTCACTATTTGCAATGAAAGTGTATACTTTCATTAGAAAATAACCATAGTGTTACTTTGATGCAAGTATTTGTACTAATTAAAATGTATTTAAGTTTAAAATTATTTAATATTTATAACAATAATATAAAAATTTCATAACGCAGAACCGCACTAGTGCGGACAATCGCCGGTCGCCATCATCGTAATATTACGTGCGGCCAAGGAGATTATAGCGCTGTATTGTGAGTTGCCTTAGCGCCGTCACCGTAAAATCACGTTAAACATTTATCACTCAATGCAACTAGTGTTGTAAGCCCTTTTTTGGGTTTTTGTTATTTCTCAAATAAATCAACACAGTCAAAACCAAATGTGTCCATTATGCAAAGTTAGAAGATGGTGACGCAAAAGTTTTTGATCAGAGACCAAGTGATCCACGAAATGAATACTTTGCATCTTTAAAACCTTTTGAGCTGGAAACCGTACTGTCGGAAATCCGCTCAGAAGTTTACATGAAATTATTAAATTTAATACAACATGCTCGTGGAGCATCGTCACCATCGCCAGCAGGAGAACGGACGACGCCGTGGCCATTTCCCGAATACTCATTTTCGTACACTTCGTTTGAAGATTGAAAATTTTTAGCTTATTTATTAAGTAGGTAAATAAAACATTGATTTTAATTAATAAAGAATATATGCATCGATATTAAGTGTTCCCAACACTGTTCCAACTTATACCTAAAGTGACGTGGCGCTGGAGGTAAGTTGAAAGTTCAGAAGCTTGGCGGTTAAAGGGTTAAACAACTACCGTTTAGTAAAGTAAGTATATAATTTGTGTACCTACTTCAATATTAAAGTGCACTATTTATAGTGCATTTTGTCGAGGGCATTGATAAAACACGTGTGGATAATATTAGATGTAGCGATGTTGAAAATTGTATTGCCAAGTGCGGTCTTCATTGACGATGACTCGTGTTTTTGTTGTGTAGACTGTAGTACACACTTGTAGTTCCTTTCCTTTCATTTGCGAGAACTGTGAAAGTTGTTGATCAACGCATCTTTAAGTGTAAGTAAAATTTGTAGCAAACGAGCCACTATGGAGAAGGGTGTTTTTTGCAGCCGTCGACGCCAAGTCATCAAAATTCGTTTTGAGACGTCGGCGTCGGCACCGGGCATCTTGAAAACCCTAGACAATAGCGCTCTCTCTTTTGAAGAGTTGCTAGATCTATCCATATAGGTATTTATTCTATTAGATAATTTTAACTTCCGTCGCATAAACTAGCCTTTGCTAATAACATTGATAACTACATCGTAAAACAGCAATTGCCATTGTGTCCAGTTACCAGTAGAATTACAACATGTATTTCTTATTTACTTCCTTCAGATATAAACATGAGTCTAGTTTCCAGTAAGACGACACCATATCTTATTTGTTTCCTATAGGCACTTATCTATTATTTTCTGATTTCTGAAATGATTTCCTCCATCCATTACCTTCTTAAGAGCACTTTATGTGAGTACTGTGTACCTTGACTGAAGCATGACTAAGCTCGCGTAATTGTAACTTTCATCTCGTATCATTTCCGTATTTCTAACTATTACGTCATTAAAATGAGCATTATTATGTTGTGATTATCAAATTAAGTAATCTCGGTATGCATTGTTTGTTTTTTTACTTTGGAATATAATTAGTGGTTGGTGTGTAGGTATGTAAGTATATACGCGCAACTGAAGCTTGTTCCTCCAGAGTGATTTTGAAAGAATATTTATTGAAGTTTTTTTGAGATGTAAACTCAAGGAAAAAAGTAACCGCTTTCTTTGAAAGAAGCACCA